AGCCCGATGCGGGGCTCGATCCCAGGACTCTGGGATCATGACCTGAGCCGAAGGCAGACGCTTAACTGACTGAGCCACCCAGGCGCCCCTATTTTATTTATCTTTTTAAGGATTTTATTTATTTGTTAGAGAGAGAGCACAAGCAGGGGGAGCGGCAGACAGAGGGAGAAGCCGACTCCCTGCTCGGCAGGAAGCCCAACACAGGACTCGATCCCAGAACCCTGAGATCATGACCTGAGCCCAAGGCAGACACTTAACTGACTGAGCTACTTAGGTGCCCCTAAACATTTTAAGTGTTATATTTTAAGTTTTTCCTCTTCAAGCACAGTTGTGGTAGGGGCTGTTGGTTCTTTTGAAGATTGGCCTTCCTTTATCTAAATCATTGATCTCCAAACTTTTTTATTGCATACTTCTATAAGTAAAAAAAATTTATATACAATATATGTATATATATTTACAAATTATATTCACAAACTATTATACTAATGTATTTTATATATTAGGAAACATTCACAAAAACAGAAATGAAAAAGAGTAAGATAAAAATAAATAGAAACAGAGTGAGAGGGGTCCGGACAGGGTTGCCACTGAGGGTCCTTAGGGTTAGTCTTTTATAGAAAGCTAACCAGGGAACTTAAATCCTTCTAACATCTCTATTGATATCACCATTGAGCAAGGACTAGTGATAAGACCTTCAATGGCTTACTTCCTTTTTAGGGTCTGGTTATTCTTTGTCGGTCACAGGTGATTATCATAAAAAAGACACCCACCCACCCACCCCCACGCCTAGGGCAGGGTGGTCCAATTTGTCCCCTTATCTCTGGGTTCCCCACACCTCACGTTTTTGGGATTTCTTTGAGCCTGATCACATAGACCCCTATCTATCTCTCCCTGTTTAGACCTGCCTGTCCCTTACTCATTCCTCCCCCTGGAATGGTAACCCTAACCCTAACCCTAGGGAATGGGACGATGACCGCTCTGGCTGCTTCCTGCTGAAATGGGGCTGCGGGCTGTAGGGCAGTTAGAATCTCTCCAGGGGTCAGTCCAGGGGCCCTTGGTATGGCTCCAGGGGGTCATGATGGGCAGCAAACGGTACATGCATCAGCACATTCAAAAGGATGAACATGAAGCAAGTATTAGGCCCCAAATTATGGTCAAATGTCTTAGATAGGATCCCCAATTACCAATTTTGTCAAATAGATCAGTGGATATCTTGATCTTATTTAATTGATCACAAATGTCCCCTATTAATTGGGTCACCTTGCAGGAGTTAACTGAGTTGTTGAAACAATACATGTGAGGAAATTTTTCACACCCCAAATGGTGTAGCAGTAGTAGACAATCAATAGTGGCGTGGTTCTCAAGAAGTCCTTCTCTGACTTCATTTAATTCTTTGGCTGAGTGCATCCAGTGGCTGGAAAGTATCATTTAGAGTTCATATTCACAAATATTTTTGATAGATTGCTTCTCCTCTTGCAAATACAAAATGATTTGGAAAACTTTCAAGTTTTTTAGATGAAGAATGTGCTTTATGAGTACTGTAGTTAGTAATTTTGTTGCCTTTAAGGGCTTTTTCCTTTTGTTTTTTGAGGTCATTGATGGCCCAATGAGATTCCCACCATCTTGACAAAGACATTCCATGCTGAGAGCTGCTTTTCATGCAGAAAATAAAAGGGAGATGAGGACATCTGAACTCTTATTCATGAGCCCTTTACTACTCTGGGGACATAGGAATGATTGAAAAAGTAGCGTGGATCATGACTTAGCAGGAAAAAAATAACACATATTCCTGGGCTGCAAACTGGGATCATTCATTTAATCATAGCCCAACAGAGCAGGTCCTGCTCATCTCCCAAGATGTCCCCATTTATCACATTTCACACATGGGGCTCTCCACAGGTGAAAGTTGTGGCAGCTAACCTGAATGTAGCTGAGGAGGCCCTGGAGGCTTACCAACGAGAGAAACAGCAGCGGCTAAATGAACTGCTGGTCGTGATTCCACTCAAGCTCCACCAGGTGATGGGTCTGGAGACGATGCGCCGCCCTGTCTGAGCAGAAGAGCCACCACACCTGGGCTTTCCCAGAAAAGATTCGTGGGCCACTCGTGGGAAGAAATACAGCCCTTTGCTGAGAATTCTACCTGAATAATGACACCCCAACTTTTCTTATCCATTCTCAGATTGTTGTGAAAGAGTAAGAGCCAAACATATGTATTTCCCGATGGCCCATTATCACTTCCAAAGGCCAATGAATTGTTTCAGGTCTGAGGAAATGAAGAGCCTATGACTTGTTTTAAATTTATTTTTTAGTTTGTTTGTTTATTTATTTTTAGTAATCTCTGCGCCCAACGTGAGGCTCAAACTCATGACCCCAAGGTTAAGGGTCCCATGCTCTTCCAACTGAGTCAGCCAGGTGCCCCAAGGAGCTTATGACTTAAGAATGGAATGGTTTGGAAGTTGAAATCTTGGATCTTGTGCACATCTTTTCACACCATCTTCAAATAGACATGAATTATGCAAGAATTATCATAATCTCTGCTTGTTTTTTTTTTATTTTTTAAAAAAATATTTTATTTATTTATTTGACAGAGAGAGACAGTGAGAGAGGGAACACAAGCAATAATCTCTGCTTGTTAATGAGGGAGGGCAAGACAAAAGGAAAGTGTCCTTTCTTTTTCTTGCCTCTTGGTTCATTTCCACACTCATTAGAATTACAGCTTATATTAAGGTGCAGAGATGCATTCATACCCTATTTTGTCAGGTAAAGCGAGAAAGCTGTATTTTAGAAGAAAAAGCTTAGATCAGCCTCACATATATTTTGTGTAACCTGATCCAAACTGGATTAGCTTTATGTAGCGATTTGCCTAATACATCCACCGTGAAATGTTTGTCCCATGGTTATGCAGCAGATATTAGGCATGGTCTGGGGGAAGATTTGCTGTCCCTACAGGGACATAATGTGGCTTACTATCTGAAGGCAACTCTGGCTCTTTTACCTTACTCAGTGGTGGGAATGACAGAAGTCCAAAGGCAATGATCTAAACAAGGGACAAAAAAGGAAGTGCTTTCTATGATCTTACATTTAGTTTGATCTTGGTTTTGTTTTGGTTTTGATAGGTAGAGTATGTAGCATTTGGAGAAATTCCTAATGATCTTTCTGGAACCTTGGTCTTTTCTAACCATTCCTTGGGACGGCTCCAAGAAAGAATCATACAGCTCCATGAAGAAAATTCCAAGCAGCAAAAACTTAACAAGGACTGCCGGGAGAGGCGCAAACAGCTTATCCGAGAAAAGAGAGAGATGGCAAAAACCATAAGCAGTGAGTAACTAAGCCCACGGGTTATCCAGTACTATCTTGATAAGAGAGGGAACTATTGAGTGACCACCTCCAGCTTTGAAAACAGTAAGTTATCACAGAATCAGAACCACTGAGAGCAAGGAAACCCTTGCTCGTCTTCCTAGCTACCATCTTTCCTGATACCGCTGACTGAATGGTCACGCTCTTGTTTTAAAAGAATAAATCCTTTATCATAGAAACTGTTTCTCTTAAGTTTAAAAGGTTTTATGCATGATGAAATATAGAGTGACATCACTAGCCACCAAGCTTAAGGAATCAAAACATTGCCCGTACAACTGAAGCTCCTCCTCTTTCTGCTACTGTCCCCCAGCCCCTTCCCCAGGGTCAACTGGCAGGTGAGCACATATGCATATGTATGTATCCACACACAACATATGGACCTACTTTGCATGTTTTTAACTGTAATATTATTCATATCATTTTGCAGTTCACTTTATTAAGCCAATTTTTGAGAGGTATCCATACTGCTGTAATTTATTCACTTTAACTGTTACGATAATATTCCATTGTAGGACTCTGAAAGAACTTCTTTCTTCAATCTTCTGTTGATGGATATTTCACGTATTTCTAATTTTTCATGAAGACAGAGCTATAGTAAATCTTCTTGTACACATCTCCTTGTGCACGGGAGAAAGTGAATCCCCAGGACTGGGGTGTCTGGGTTGTAGAGGGGTGTTACGCGTTTCCGGCAGGCACTCCTGTATATTGCCAAGCTGCTCTCCGATGTGGTTGTATCATTTTATCTCGGGCCCCCCCCCCCCCCACCCCCCCCAGCCTGCCACTTCCCTGGCAGTGAGAACGGCTCAGGCTCCATATTCTCAGGAACATTTGATGCTGTCAGACTTTAATATATTTGCCAGCCTGGTGGATGTTAAATTGTATTTCTGTGTGGTTTTTTATTCATGATTCCTGGATTCTGGTGAGGTTAAATATCTTCACGTACATTAGTTATTTGCCATTTATTTGTGTTTCCTTTTCTGTAAGTTGCCTATTATAAACCTTACCAATTTTTTACTTCTACTTGTTTTATTACTGATTTAGGGAGTTCTTTCTATATTCTGTCTTTTAAGCCACTTCAAATTTCTTCTTGTGACTTGCCTTTTTACTTTGTTTAGTGTATCCTTTTGGGATATAGACATTTAAAATCTTAATATAATTTTATCAATATTTATGGTTTGTGCATTGTGTCTGTGTATATGTCTTGTTTTTTTTTAATTTTTTTTTAAAGATTTTATTTATTTATTTGACAGAGAGAGACACAGCAAGAGAGGGAACACAAGCAGGGGGAGTGGGAGAGGGAGAAGCAGGCTTCCCGCCGAGCAGGGAGCCCGATGCGGGGCTCGATCCCAGGACCCTGGGATCATGACCTGAGCCGAAGGCAGACGCTTAACAACTGAGCCACCCAGGTGCCCCTGTATATGTCTTGTTTAAGAAATCCTTTCCTGTTTTGAGATCATAAAGATATTTTGTCCATAGTGTCCTCTATTAGTAGTGTTCTTCATATTTGTATTTTTAATCTATCTGGAGTTGTGGATATTATAAGATGCACAGTATAAAGATTACTATCCTTTAAAATACATTTTGAATATTTGATATATGGAACAGAAGTGTAAGTTGTGAAGTTTCCAACTTTAAAAACAACAATATTGGGGCGCCTGGGTGGCTCAGTCAGTTAAGCGTCTGCCTTCAGCTCAGGTCATGATCCCAGGGTCCTGGGATTGAGCCCCGCATCAGGCTCCTTGCTCTGCGGGAGGCCTGCTTCTCCCTCTCCCACTCCCCCTGCTTGTGTTCCCTCTCTCACTGTCTCTCTCTCTCTGTCAAATAAATAAATAAAATCTTAAATAAATAAATAAAAACAATATTGCTAATATCTTAGTATCTATTTTAATGCCACAGAACTCTACAATTAAAAATGTTTAAAATGATATTTTATGTTATGTATTTTACCACAATTGAATAAAAGTATATATATATTAATTTGAAAAAGAAAAAAAATGGGAAGCCTATAGTAGTCAACTAGTCAGCCAATCCAAGTTGCTTGGATTTGTAGAGGCCAGTTTCCAGTGAGTGTTGATGGTTCTGTCTTCATGGGCAGCTGGTTCTGCAAGGCAGCTGGATTATAAAATAAAAAATACATATTAGGACTGCATGTTTAAATAACACTAATTTGAGACACACAGTTTTGTCAGGTGTAAGCCTTGAGGTCCCAGTGCTTCTCATGTACTTCACATTCCTCTGGCTTCGGTAGGCCATGAATGTTGTTTATATTTGAAAGTACTATTCATCAAACCAAGGAATAAACTAGTATGAAAACAAGGAAAGAAGCTTGCTTCAGTTTGGGCAAACTTTCATTTTGGGAAAATGTGTGAAGATGAAATGAAGTTTGCAAATTTTCAGAGTGTTAATGGAAATAAAAGGGAATAGTTCCATGTGGTATAAGTTTTATTCAGTAACTTTCAGTTCTTCTCCCCACCCCCCCACCCCATTTTCTGAAAAGCAAGTTGTGAGTCTGGTTAAAGTTTTCCTGATTCTGAAGGTGGAACTCGGAGTGGGTTCCTTTTCTGTAAGCTGGAGAACAAAGGCTTAGCAGTGATGAGGAACACCACGCTTGGCTTGAGGTTGCTTTCCTCCTTCCATAGACTCAGTGAACAAGAAGAGGAGAGTCTAGGGCGCCTGGGTGGTTCAGTGGTTGGGCGACTGCCTTCGGCTCAGGTCATGATCCTGGAGTCCCTGGATCGAGTCCTGCATCGGGCTCCCTGCTCGGCAGGGAGTCTGCTTCTCCCTCTGACCCTCCCCCCTCTCATGTGCTCTCTCTCATTCTCTCTCTCTCTCAAATAAATACATAAAATCTTTAAAAAAAAAAAAAAAAAAAGAAGAGGAGAGTCTAGAACATGGTGGTGGGAAGGAGTAAGTTCACTTCATTCCAAGGAGAACACAGCTCTTGGCCATGGAGAAGGCATGTGGTGAATATTCCAGAAGGCTTTATGTCCCCGGTAAACACTAGTTGGCCTAATCAAATCAGGAGAAGGGCATTAGGCTGGCTCCACAGGGGAAATGGCAAGGACCAGAGTCCACATCCTAGTACATGAGGCTGTCATGGGAGAGGGCACTAGCTGGAGGGAGTCTCAAGGTTCTTACTGAGGCCAAGCAGGCAGCTACAGGCTAGTACATGTGTACAAATAATCTAAGCATCATTTCATTTTTGCATCACTGATTATCATGGCCGCCACATTACACAAGTCCATGGGGATTACACTCACACAGAATACAAGTGAACAGCCCTTCCCAGATCATGCACAACAGCAGTCATGCCAGTTATATCATTATAGTCAAACCTTAACAATGACACCAGATACAAACTTCCACACCATTGCAGAACTGTATCATCTTCTGATACCTTAGGGCCTTCAGACTTCACTTAGGGGACAGTCTGGTACCTGAGAAAGTCTTGTTACAAGAATTACATTTTCTTGGGGAGCTCAGACCCCACAAATGGAATTTTCCCTAGAAGTTCCAGGGTTCTCATGTTGAGGAAAGACAGTAAACAAAAGTAAGATATATTGCATGTTAGATGGAGATCATTACTAAGAAGAAAAATTAAGAAGGGACGGGAAAGGAGAGTGCTCAGGTCTGTAGGAGCCAGGAACCGCTCCCTGGAAAGGTGGAATACTGGTAAGGTGTGGTTTTCCCTGGTTAGAGGACGAGGACCTTGGTTACCCCTTCAGAACTGAGTGTATTGGAAATGAGCCTTACAACTTGCATTCAGAAAATGGGCTGGCAAGAGGGAACCATGTGGCTATTTGGGGAAGAACATTCCAGTCGGTGGGAACTGAGATGAGAATGAGCCTGGAATGTTTGAGAATCAGACTTTAATTTTTACTTGGAGTACGATGGAAACACTTACTTCCTCTAAGTGCCTGCTCTGTTCTTAACACTAGATGCTGTAGAGATCAGTGACTTAAAAAAAAAAAAAATCTGACGAGTTCTTTGTCCAGTTGGGGCCCTTGACAGTCTGAGGAGGGGCACAGCAGAGGGTGGAAACAACTGGGGGAAAGTGGAGTCTGCCTTACACAGGATTTTCAAGTAGATGAAAAGACAACCAGGAATGGGCATTTTAAGTGAGGAAAGGAGCTGGCGAAGAGTCACAGAGGACAAGTCAACTGGTAGCATAAAATCTTTTACTATCCTCTTGCAAACTCTGTTCTTTGGAATGTTGTTGCTACTGGTATTGTTCACTTAATAACAATGCGGGCCACGGAACAACCTAAGGCAGTGAAGTCTTTTTTTTTCAGAAATGGAAGAAACGGTCCATCAACTAATGATCAGCAAGTTTGGCCGTGTGATAGACCTAGAAGCCCTTCAGACACTTTCCGTGAACACAACGCTTGAAGAGCTAAAGATCAAAAAACTTCGAAAGGAGCTAACGAATGCAAAGGAAATGAAGATGTGGGAGGTATGGCAGAGACAACAGGTGACCTGCCTTGGCTGAACGTGGGTCAAGGCAAGAAACACTGTCTGTGGTTCCTGCGAAGCATCTGAGCAGCCAGAGATGAGTCTGTGGGCCCCACTTGGCTCCCCCATGATCTTAAGCCTGTCTCAGCATCCTGACCATTCACTTAGTTGAAGGGACTTGTCTGTCTTGGGGTGAAAGCACCAGCACTAGGTTTTGGGGTCCTGGGTACATGAAAATATAACAAAATGGCATGGTTGATGACCAGGATTCCCCTCTGAGGTCTACATTAATGTATAAATAAATGCTCTGACAGTGTTAGAGATGGAACCGCTGTGCTCGGAGGATCACAGTTGTAGTGTTCCCTATAGCTTTTACATGCTGTTCATATCTGGAAATTAGGAAACATCTCTAAATAATAAATTCTATAACCAGGTATGGACTATTTCGCTGGTGGGGTCTTAGAAGATGTTAATGCCTACACTGTTCCCTGAGTTATGAGATGAGGCAGTGTCCCATTGTAGCCAGGTTCAAAGATAGGAGCTTGTATAAAGATTTTATAAGCCCCCAAGTCATGATGACTTCTCCAGTTTCCTGTCTTATCAGTAGACAGGGCAGGAGAAGAGGTTCCTAGTGTCATCTTGTCTCATCTTTGCTTATCCAAGATTTTCAGGGAGGGGAATGCTGGAGATAATATGTGCAATCTAAAATAATTTTCGGAGCAGTAACAGAACAAAGGAAAGCCACCAGGAGATGAATGGCCATTCAAGGCTACTTGAGGATCTTGGGCCAAGGCTGGGGAAAGAACAATATATGAAAGTTTTCTGCTTAAATTAATATTCTTCCTTTTAAGTAATGAATAGCAGTACTGTTTGCATACTGATTTCATTCTTCAACAATGAAGTGATATCTATGTCTATCTTTTTTACCTCCTTGTATCTTTGAGCATACCTACATTCTTCTTTTCTCTAATTGAACCAGAGCCAATGCAGTTGGCTCTGGTTGCATTTTCATAGTGATTTTTTATTATATTTTTTCATATGCATATTTGCTGAATGGTTTTGATCAAATCTGGACATGTATTTTTCTGTTTCCTCTCTTATTTACTTAACCCATTTTACATCTTCCTGTCCTGGCAGGAAAAGATTGCCCAGGTACGATGGGAGTTGATGATGAAGACAAAGGAACACACTAAAAAACTTCATCAGATGAATGATTTATGTATTGAAAAGAAGAAACTTGATTCTCAGTTGAATACACTACAGAACCAGCAGGTATGTTCCTTTTCTTCAGACCTTTTATCAGAGTTGGGGAAGCTCTGTGAAGGTAGCTATTCACAGGAATATCAAGTGCTGGCATTTAAACAAACCTTGATCTTGTACCACTTCCAGTCCACCTGGGACCCTGAGGACATGAAGTTGCTAGTACCCACTTTACAGGTGAGCCTGGGGGACTAGTTTTACTGTATGCCTTTTGCGGGACATGAGTTTACATATGTACTAATCTATGGGGTTTGCCTTAGCCCTGGAGAGGTAAGGTTAGTTAGGTACAAATGACACCAAAATAATCCCTAAATTTGGTAACAAATACCCATTTCCAATATTTGTTTATTTCATTTGATTTAAAGTGGGTATCTTTAATTGTAGGATCTCATATTACTTTATTAAAACACTTGCTACTTTTTATATCTTTCAACTTTTTCTTATATAATATTTATTGAGCCTGACATAATACTTAATACATAGTATATGGTGGATAACTTATTTAATACAGGTTCACTTGATTCAAGGTTCACCTAGGTGAGGTGTCCTCTAGGAACTTAACACATATGCGATATGTTTTAAAATATATATGTCATGTTCTTACAGAAGTATCTGCAAAAACGCCCATTGTTTCCCTTGGTTTTCTTTAAGCATCCTGGAAATGGTCTAAGCCAGGGGTTCACAAAGTGTGGTCCCCCGAAAAACAGCATCAGCATCACCTGGGGAATTTATTAGAAATGCAAATTCTCGGGCCACCCACAGATCTGAATCAGCAGCTCTGGGGGAGGGGCCCAGCCAGCTACATTAACAAGCCTTCCAGATGATTCTGATGCAGGCTAGAGTTTAAGAATTACCTAAGTACAAGTCTAGAAGCAAGAATGAATAAGAGGATTTGGGAGGTTTATTATTGGAAATTCAATATGAGAGGATACTAGAAATCTGAGTATTGAGGGCCCTTTACCCACTGAAGAATTTTCGAATTAATCAGGACGGTGTTCCAGAAGGTTAATGCCTAAACACAATCTTCATAGAATAAGCAGTCATACTTGTTGGCTTTATGTGCTTTGGTAAGTCCAACACACTTGTTGGCTTTATGTGCTTTGGTAAGTCCAGATATATTGGAGAAAAGAGTCTGAAGTGTTTGAGTAGAAGATCAGTTAAATGGGAAAGGAAATTCATAGTATATGTCTCTTTACATAGGAGATCCTTACATATATATCTTTACATAGATAATTTTTATGGTATTAAAGTAATAGATTTTCATGTATAGTCTCTTTACGTGGAATGTCTCATACTGCTACTCTCAAAATACTACTTTCCAAAGCTCAGAGTAGTTAAGTAACTGCCTCGGAGCTAATGAATGGTGCTTAGTTTTTAAACCAAGGTCTGTCCACCTCCAAAGCTGAGTCCATTGCTATTATTCTTCCAACAGTCTAGGCATGAATTGGGATATAGATGGCAAGAACAAAAAAGGATCAGACATTTCAAAGTAAGAATAGCCAAACTTTGACTGGATATGGTGAGGAAAATGAGGGAAAGTTAAGGTGACTTCAAAGTGACCAGCTGGAGTGATGCCATGAGCTGAGGCATGGGTTTAGCTACAGGTAGCCAAAAGCCCTGTGGAGAGTAGCTTAAACAAATAGGGGTCATTTTCCTCACTAACAAGAAGTCTGGAGGTGATGACTGAGGGTTTTTGGCTTAGTGGGCCTGTGATGCCCGGGCCAGTAGCTCTCTGATTCTCTCAGTGATTCTTTGGAGTTTCCTTCGAGGTCACATGATGGCTGCCTCTGCTCTAAGCACAGAGTGGATATACTACATAAGTGTCATCTTCTTCCCTTTAACATGCATTCAAAGCTTTTTGAGCAGGTCCTTATGTCACACGCTCCAGGGCAGGTGCTGGGTAGAGTGGTGAGATCCATCTAGCTCTTAAAGGCACAGGCTCTTGCAAGAAAGATCTCAAAACAGGCATTTAGGTTGAACCATATGAAACTGCCACTTTTTCAACCTAAAAAAGGAGTCTCAGATATAAATTTTAATGGTTCGATCTCATAATCACGATGATACATGATGGATGTTCTGTAAGAACACAGAACAGGAAATCCTAATCTAGTCCACAGGACAAAGGACTCCCTAAAAGTGATGTCTGGAGCATAAGCAGGAGTTGGCTGGACAGGAGAAGGAATTGGATGAGGAAATAGAGATTTCCTTTTTGGGAAACAAAATATGGGCTGTATAGAAAATGGGGGTACCCCGTCTTTTATGGTTCCAGTGCTGAGCCCTTCTATAGTAGGAATGAGGGATAGCTATCTTAATGGGATTTGCATTTTAAGAGTTACTCATTAGCCAGAGGGGCACATTTCTAATGGTGGGATTTCAGTGGAAGAATTGAAGGCCCCTCAAAATAAGAAGCAATGGGTATTTAAACTGACAGTAAGATAGGCACTTGTAACATAAGAATGGGGAATTTTTCACATTACATGTGATGCTTAAAGCAGGGAGGTGTTTTCTTTTAACAGGGCAATGCCTTCCAGGGCCCTCGGAAAGCGGACATTGTGGCAAGAGAGAAGGTCACTGAATTGATCCAACTCCAGGCAGAAAGGATTTTGGCCTTAAAGGAAGAGATTGCTCTCTTGCATAAGAAAGGTGGTCTTATCCTACCCCTCATTCAGCCTCCACAAGAGAAGGAGATGAAGCCCATGGGCCTTTAAGTTTGCTTTTTTCTCTCAACTCCGTCCAAGATTTCCGACATACAACTTACCAGAAGTTCTGTTTCCTTGCCGGCTGCAATAGTCCTATTATTTTAAAATGAATTTATTTAAAAGTCTAAGACCAGAACCACTCATATAGTTTTAATAACTTTTCTCCAATTTGGTTATCTTAGAATGGACTCTAGCACTCAACATCTATTTCTTATTGAACTGAACCATTTTAGATCTGTTTGGAGCCCACTGGATTGAATATGGAGGCTTCAGAAGCTGTATGTATCTCAAAACTGCAAGAAAGCATCTGCAATATATCTTGTTTTAGGAAATCTGTCTCTTGCTTATCTGAATTTTTAGCCATCGGCAGGAAAAACTAGCAATCTGTGAGAAAGCTTGCTTGTTTCAGTCCTTGGAAAATCAACTCTGATATTCAGTGTTTTCTGAGAACAAAAAACAAAAGCACGAGCTATTCTGCCAACAGTATCTTAGAATGAGATGCAAATCAGAATTCTGACATTGTTAACTCCACAGAGCAGTTATTTGAGGGCTCAGGATGCAGGAAATGCAGGCAGAGCTGTTAGCTTTGGATTGGCCGAAAGCAAGAGACTACCCAGCTTCCTGAATCACCCCTGGCTTCGGCAAACTCCTCAGCTCTGAATGGAGCAGAGGAGTATGTTTTGCAAAATGGTCAACAAGGCGGCTTTTCTCTGAAGGTGTTTGCAGCTCTACCAGTATTCTAAGTAGTCCCATAGCTTTTCACGTCCTCTGCATTTTCTTCCAGGTTCTAGTCGAGTCATTTGCTGTTTTTGATGTAGACCCCTAAGTCTTGATAGGTTACATCACTCTATCACTCTGAGAGACTGGCTCCAACCATCACTTTTGATTGTGCATAACATTTTAAACTAATTTTTTTTTTTAACATTTTAAACTAATTTGATTGTCCTTTTCGTTTGGGGGTAAGCGGTGATGGGGATTCATGGCTGTACCCATTTAGGAATGATCTCCCTGATATTTGGACCCCTGTTAGTAACAGAGCTTAGCATTTGAGATTCAGAGCTCTCTAGGTCCATATATATGAATGAGCGTCTCCACTGAGCTGTCCCAGAATAGAAGTTAGTCATGGAGAAGGAAAGGTGAGGAAGGCGATATTACATCAGCGTAGAAGGTGACCCGGCAACGTCAAGTCTTCCTAACCTGTGACCAGCCTGCTGATCTGTCCTTCCCCGAGATTAGATAGGACTTGCTTCCTTTCAAAGATTCTTTCATGTTCCTATTTAAGCGATCCAAAAAGTTTGTGCCCAGTAGCTTAAATCCCTGGTGAAGTAGCTTCTGTACTGGAGAGCGCCCTTACTTCCTCTGCTGTACACCCTAAACTCTGGGTGCCCTTCAAGCATCTAACAAAAATTGCTAGTCCTAGCTCTGAGGGTTTTACTTCCTTATTGCTACATGAAGTTACCCCCGAGCATTGCTTAACGCAACAGGCACTTCTCTCACCCAGGGTTCTGAGGGTCAGGGATCTGGGAGCAGCTTAGCAGGCTGCTCTGGGCTCAGAGTCTCTCCCAAGGTTGTGGTCAAGCTGTGAGTTGGGGCCACCCCATGCGAGGCTTGGCTGAAGCCGGAAGGGCTACTTCCAGATGCACTCACGTAGCTGTTTGGCAGGAGGCTTCAGTTCCTCGCTGGCTGGCTACCACAATGAGCAACTGCCTGGATAAAGGGGTTGGTCTCCGGGAAAACCCCGTTCCCTAGGTGGTAGTGAGAGCCAGGGGAAGTTACGTAATCTTCCTGGGCCTCATTTTATTATCTGACAAATGAAGGATTTGGATAAGCTCTAAGTCTCTTTCCCATTCTGAAATTCTGTGATTCTAATCGCAGCAAGAATGACTTTAGAGTCTATGGAAGAGCTGTGGCAAAGACTCCCTGAGTTTTTCAACTCTGTAAAACCAATCAGGATTATTTATCTCCACCCCCCAAATCAAACTAGACTGAATCACCACTTACGTCCACAATAGTCAGGCCTTCATCCTGTAGGTTTGACAATATAGTTAATACTCAGTTGTTTATTTCGAATTTATTTTGAACAAGACCTATAGCTAGCTTTAGTTACATTTCTACGTGATTCCAGACTTAGCCTTAAATCTGTACTTAAGTATAGTATCAGAGTCTTTGGGAAGTTCAGTTTTGGACAGAAGGAGACCACCAGGGTTCAGCTTTGGTGGGGGATAACTTTCCATTCACTCCTGCTCTCCTGATCAGACTGTTCTCTGCCTCTGGCTGTGTTGTGGAGAAAGCTGCCTCACCTCTCAGAGTGAGGCCAAAATCTGTCCACACGGAGTTACCTCTGGGTAAACTGCCAACGTAACTTGGCTATTTTGAACCCTTGTCCACAGTACACTCAAAACCCAACACTGGAAGAAAAAGTAGCTGTCGAGTGAAGCCCTGTGTCACAGTTAGTCACTGTTGCCAAGGCCGGCTGTCCTGTCATGGAGGACTGCCATGCCTGGGGCGGGGGGTGAGCTGTGGGCCTGAGCTGGGCTCTGTACCCCCACCAGCACCTGCCCTAGGTCCTACTCTTCCATTGGTAAATTATATAGCCTTTGCCGGCTGAATCAGACTTTTAAAAGGCACTATAATAATCTGAATCTAAAGAAATATAAAATACAATGAAATCGAATATCTAAGCCATTTTATTTTCTAGGCTAAAATTTAGAGGCCTGATGCCTTTCCTCTTTTCCTGCTATTGGCTAAGGTAAATACACATATTTATCTCATTTAATGTGCCTTAGAAGTGATTTTTCTGTCCTACAATTTTTTTTTTTTTTTTTGAGAGCAAAAACCATTCAATATTGTTATGGTTCCAGGGCTGTGCAAAAAGCAATTTTATGTGGGCGCCTGGGTGGCTCAGTTGGTTAAGCGACTGCCTTCGGCTCAGGTCATGATCCTGGAGTCCCGGGATCAAGTCCCGCATCGGGCTCCCTGCTCAGC